GAACGTTACAAATGATGTTGCATTAGAATGATTGATTGATTGTTGCTTGCTTTATTTCAGTGGCAAATATTTCGTGCATGTTGAGGATGATCAATTTATGTATAAATCATGTTTTGTATTAAAAAAAGTTTATTTTTACAGAGTAGGACTTTGCACTGACTGGTCAACTAATATATTGATTGCTTGATTGTTGTTTGCTTAATGTCCAGTGGCAAATGTTTCATGCATGGTCCAGACTATCAACTAATATTAAGACTTTGAGTAGGAATTCAAAATTTTTGAATTGGTATCAGTTATGAACTTATATTAACATTGAATTCTTTAGATGATATTCCATGTTCTGAATCATACATTGTCACTTTCGTCAGTGAAAGTTTTAATTTAAACTTAATCCGTAGTGTCAAATTTAAATTTTGATAAATGCATTTAAATCTTTCAATATTTATTTGATATTATTGAAGCAACATAAACTTTTCAATTCATTAAATCAAATTAATGCTATATAGGAGGGCAACATATTAGATAGATCAATAAAAATGAACAGGAGTAATTCATTGGAGGTAATTCTACCGATTGACAATTTAAATATGTTAGTTATAAGGGATTAAATCATTGTTCGTCTCATAATAAAGATAATATTAGTCACTTAACTTTCTAATAATATGGGATTCGGAGCTTTCCATTCGTAAAATATGATTTTAACTTTTGAATCATTTTAGTGTAGTGCAAAAAATGTTAATGAACTTGATCTGTACTTAACCTTTTAATGAAATTAAGCAATAATGAAAATCCTCAAATGCATTTGTGGGGAAATTTGCAAGGTTATGACTCGATGAATACAACAAGTTAGAAGATTTTCTATATGATAAGTTTGGGATAAAAATGAAATTCACAAATCAGAAAAGCACAAATAGAATATTTTAATCAGTAGCAGCCTATATATATTTTTGGTTGTTGATAATAACGAATACCTGAATGCAATGTAAAACATGTTTAAAAAAAATAATTCTTGAGTCTTAGGGAAAAACATTTGGTTATAGAAGTTGAGGAGAAGTTATAAAGTAAGTGTAAGAAGGGGAAAATGTGGCTTTTACAGAAAACTTTAGTACTGTTTTAAAGATTGTTGAAAACTTCAAAAACATTTATTCTTGTTTTGTTTAAAATTTGATTTGACACTTTATAAAAAAATTATTTCATTTTTAGTATCTTTGATTAATCATAATTTTAATGTATTATACATTTCTATTGAAAAAGAAATCTTTTCTTAGAGAAGTTAATTTTGAACTTTGTGAAACTGTAAATACCCATTAAAATCATCATATGTATTTATTATACTTATCCTTTTCTTTCTGTAAAGTCATCAAGAATTTTTAGAGTAACAGAAATGAAAAGTTAGTTTACGTAAATTATAACAACACTGAATCTAACATCTTATTTCTTATCAAGAAAATTCATGTTTTTATTGTAATAAATCATGCAGTATATAAGCCAAACTAATTTTCATGCATTTTATCAGCAAAATTTTCTCCATGCTTGCAAACAATACTAAACCTTGTTAAAACAATGTCACAAAATCTGATAAAATTTGATTTGATATGATTGAAACCTTTTTTTTTTACAGGTGAGAAAATGAAAAGTTAAAGAAATATACGCCTTGATTAGAAAAGGGGGTTGACTGGTTATGAGAGTAATGGAGCATGCCATTTTTTATTGCCGAATACTTAGATGAAGTAGATATCCACTTATCACATGATAAACAACACTTAAAACAATTGTGCCGATTTCAAGAGCACACCTGTTGTTTTAACCAGGTAAGTGGATTATGATTTTGTACATATGTATTGCTACCATTGTGAAAAGATTATAGTTGAAGATAATTTGAATGTACTTAGAAAAGTTCTGGATAGTGAAAAAAGGGGAGATGACTCAGAATAAACTATGTTAGATTCTTTTATATTAAACGAAAAAGAAGACATATGAAAATGGAAGAAAAAAAAAAAATCTTGCAAATGCTTTATTTGATCCTTTACTGTAAATTCATTAATTTTTGTGGGTACCAATTTTCGTGGAATGAAGGAAAATAGTATTTTTTGTGGGAATTTGAATTTGTGGCTTTGCAAAACTTTGTATACAAGCCTTTAGAAAATTTACAATTTTGTAGAACATTTAAAAATTAACGGTTTCCCTATACCCACAAAATCAATGAAAATTTGTACCCCATGAATAGTAATGAATGTACAGTACTTATAAAAATAACATTTTATGTTGAAAATCAAGTAATATCTTGACTATACACTTCATTACACATGTTACACACATTGTGGATAGAGTAAAAAAATAAATAGAAAGGGGCCTCATATTGTTAACAACATAATTCATTTATAAGATAAAAATGGCAGTGGGTACCTTCGGAAATTGGAAATATTTTTTTTTTGTTGTTGTTATATTTTCAGATTTGTATTTGTAACAGGGAGATTTCTTTTATTTAAATTATACAAACTTATTATATACTAGTATAAAAGCATCCTTATTTTTGTCAAGTTAAAAATACATGTCACTCAGTCACAATAAAGATTTGAAAAGTAACCATGGAATTAACGTGCATACATGGTTACTTCACATAATTAGAATGAGTCCTTCAGATACAGACCCCTATAATTAAAGAACCTGCTCCCTATTGTAATCGACTAGTACCTGACGTGTGACAGGACACACCTGATTAAATCACACTGATTCCATGGTATTAAACAGGTGTCAATTTCTAATCATACTTATTGAAATGAACAGATACATGTCAGTTTCTTATGCAACAACCTTACAGGTATTTGTATGGGAATTTCAATAAAATTCAATTTTATGGCTTTTTTATGAACTGGGGGCAACAACATGACCGTCAAAAAGTTTGAGGGAAGTTAAAGAATTAGTTACAGTCCAGAATTGTCCATTCAATTGGAAGAGTGTATTCTGTCAGAAAACTAGTTATTTTTTATATTGAAAGTTAAGGAGGATAACATTTGAAATTGGGGTTGTGATTTTCTTGAGTGTGGAGGCTGATTTTTATTACAGAAGTACAAGGACTTTTTGATTCGAGGTAAAGTTTTTATATAATTTCCACTTTTATCCTAATTTTAGGCAAAACTCCCAAAAGATTCCCATAACCTTTTTCTTAGAAAAAAACCATTGTATTTGGTATTATATTTTTTGAAGTATTTGATTAAGTGGACGACTTAAAATTTTACCAAAATTAACCACATTTAAAAGATGCTTATAACTTTTTTTGTTGAAAAAAGTTATTGTATTTAATGTGATATTTTTTTTCAAAAAACTAAATATATTGTAGAATTTAAGTGTAAGTGAAAGACTTGCAAAACTTAAAATACCCCTGCCAGATTTGTTAACCATTGATTTTCATTGAACCTCTAATTATTTAGCTTCATTTCATGTCCTGGAAAGCCATGTGAGCTCTAGCCGCCACTCAGAGTCATCACCCCTTATATCGTTTCCATCTTCTCTGAAACCACAGTGGCCAATTTTAACCAAAATTGGCAAATATGGTGCATGATAGGTCCTCTACAATTTTGTTCAAATTTCTGAAACTACATGAAAATATTTTAGAAATTTACAAGATTAGATTAGGAGACCCTATATAACAAAACCCTCATTAAATATTGAGCCATTGCACAAACATATGTCGACTATGCAGTATGGGTTTTGCTCATTGTTGAAGACAGTAAGGTGACCTATACATGTAGCTGCTAACTTCTACGTCATTTGTTGTCTGGTGGAGAGTTGTCTCATTGGCACATCTTCTTATTTTTATATATGACCACATTGGTAAGACAAACTTTCCATTACTAGTATATCAATAGGAAATCATTTTTTCTCTGAAATCTTGGCAAATTTTAACCAGTCTAATTGACAAGAATGATATAGTGAAGGTTCCCTTAAAACTGTCCTCTTTCCTGATCAGATAAACAATATGACTGCAATTAGGGGCATTCTTTGATTCCGATAACCCAATTTAAAAAAGTTATAACTTCTTTAAATGTACTTGGTCAAATGTTTCCTATGAATTTAAGGTTTTGCCTCTTCAAACAATCCTTATTTGATGCTGATAGAATGGCAAGTATTGCGACATTGATGGCACACAGTTCCTATTAAAACCCTATCTGAAATAACAATTTCATCTTTGCTAATAAAACCTTCTGGCCAATTTTAACCACATTTCGCAGAAATTTATGATATATAGAAGGACCTCTGCAAATGATCTTTATTTGGTATTAATCAGATGAATTTTAAAAAACATAACCACGGAGGCATTTTTTTATTCTGATTGGTCAATTTTGGAAAAATCTTCTTTGGAACTGCAAGATGAAATGTTTTGAAACATTGCAGATCATAGATACTATATCTAATATACCTAAAATGTGTTTCTTTTGGAAATTATATTACTAGTAAAACCATTATATTTCTTTCTTTAGAAACAAATCCTCTTTCCTGTTTATTCCACCAGGAATGTATTCATTTCTATCAATTAAGTTGTTGCAGTAAAAAAATACTATTTATGAGTGTTCCTAATTCTTTTGATTCAACATTTTGTATTTTGTTGAGTAAATCTAAGGTTTTCCCCAATCAACAAAAACTACAAAAATTGGTATTAGATTATTCATCAATCTAGATTACAAAGGTGAAGGTTTGGTACCATTAAAACGTTTAAACCTGCTGCAATTGTTCGCACCTGTCCTAAGTCAGGAATCTGACTTTCAGTAGTTGTCGTTTGTTGATGTGGTTTAAAAGTGTTTTTGGGTCTCGTTTTTTATATAGATTAGACCGTTGGTTTTCCCGTTTGAATGGTTTTACACTAGTAATTTTTTGGGCCCTTTATAGCTTGCTGTTCGGTGTGAGCCAAGGCTCCGTGTTGAAGACCGTACTTTGACCTATAAAGGTTTACTTTTATAAATTTTGACTTGGATGGAGAGTTGTCTCATTGGCACTCATACCACATCTTCTTATATCTAGATACTGCTGTGTAGGTAATTTTTCTATACTGGACTTCTGTTCCATTCTGATGGATTAATTGTTGCATGCTTAAAAGTCCAGTGGCAAATATATCATGGGTGTTCCGGAAGCAAACAAACAAACATTTTTATTGCAATGTAATACAATAACGATCAACTGGGTTGTGGTACTGCCATTGGAAATGAGGGTATGTTGGATTGGGGTAGAAGGCCATCTACTTCTTTAACTTACAGAATGTGTGGCACTTATATCCTCTGTTAGTTATTGGATTAACGTCCTCTTTTTTGTGGACGTGGCTACATTATCAGTGATCGGGAAGGACGTGCGCCTTGCGCCAATTGCGCTTATCGACCAGAAATGGCGCATAGAGTGACAAATGTAAGCGCCCGCGTGGCGCATGATATTTTTCACTTCGTTTTGAAACGTTGAGATATCGTCAAATGGATTTCCGATCGTATTTCGTGCCGCCATGTGTGAGTACACAACTGTGTAGTGTTTACTCCAATGATAGGAGCACCTATATATTTTTGGGACGTCTCGGGTGTTTTCCTATGGTAATATTAGCAACATGCGGTATGACTGATAACCCAAAAAACGTAATTAACCATCATTCATGATATAATTTTTTTATAAACAACTTTAAATTTGTGAAAATTGGCTAGTACCTAATTATAATCTTTTAAGTAAGCTTGCTATTATTTCGATTGAAAAATCCAAAAGCCTTTTTATGAATAGCATAGTATTTGTCTCCATAAAAGGGGCTTAACTGTCCTTGTCAATTTTTTTGGTCTTTGGCTCGTTTTGACATTTTGTAAACATGCCTTCAGCGAATTGTTGTTGTGTCTTATCAATTAACGTTGCTCTCTACTGTTATTCTTGTCATCGTGATGAAGTAATAATAATACAAGTGCAGAGGAAATGTCAGAAACGTCCTCTAATACGGAACATCTGGAATAAGTATGGTATCGACGAAGACTCAAATTTAATGTAAAAAAAACCATGAACATGAACAAGGGAACAGTACAAGTTTTAACATTGTAAATAAAGGTTATCGTAAATATTGCCCGGTTTGGAAGAAGTTATTGTATATTCATTAAAATTGAAATTACAAAATCACAGGAACAATATCCATGATATTAATTAGAATCATACTTGTAAGTACAGTGAAATATACACTTTTTTTATTTATTTTTTTTATTGTAAACAAATGGCCCACTCATTTGACAACATGGCCCATTAATTCTAAAAATGGCTCATTGAATTTATTTTTGGGGGGCCCTGGGCCCATAGAGAAAAAATCCTTCCAGATCACTGCATTATTACCACATTTTAGTTTTACTGCCGGGGCTAGTGAAGACTTGGAAGACCATATTTCTATACAAAAGTGAGGCAACCCTGAAAAAATGTTACAGAGAAATTTTTCTCTCCTAACACCTCAGCTGTGTCCTCTCTCTCTCTCTCATTTCAGACTTTCTCTCTCATTACTTTGTACACTTATTTATAGATATAAACTTTGTATATTTTAACTAAAGTTCACGATCTTGTCTCTTATAAATATTTATAAAGTAGTTGTATTGTTTTTACCGATAAAAAAAGACCTAAGGTTGGAATGAGTAATATGTCTAGTGGGGGATCATTGACTATACTATCAGTCATTATATATGATAGTACTAAGTGAAGATACTTTTTAAAGGTTAAGACAAATAGAGATCAAACGTTTTAAATGTAGAGGTGTTAACTAAAACTGCATGCATTGTTACAGGCAGTATTTTATCATTCACATTTATCTGTGTGTAAATGAGAAAGGATTATATTAATAAGGGATAATTTTTTGCATAACCATGCTTTTCAATGTATCTTCACATGATGATATACTAATAAGACAGGTGCTTCCAGACGAGGTCCAGCTGGTTATTTGTTTTTGACAAGTGCATTTTGAATGGTTGTACTAAAGGGAGGGAAGGTTCATCACCCCCATGTATTTGGAAGGTTTTTCAGGGCCATAATATACAGACCCAAAATGACCCTTCTACCATTTATGGTCCTTGGGAAAGCATATCAATGTGTTAAGATATCAAGAGAGAAATAAAAAATTGTTGAAGAACATATACCACACCATGTCCTTAAAGAAAAAAAACAAAAAATAAGTTTTTGTCCACAAAGCATTACCCAGAAATAAAAGATTGAGCAAAATAAACCCACATAAAACTTGGTAAAAAATTAGTACTTTAACTTTGGAAGAGGGGCACTTAATTTTAGCTTATTCAGCAATAATATATATGCACTCAAATTGTACATATTTTAAATGTGAAAGTCATGGCTGTTTAATACATTGCTGAGCAGAGCACGGTAAAGAGATATTTGGCCAGGGGTCAGTTTGTGGGAAAACATATCTAGATAGTTTGTATATATAGCATTTAGTCATAAAACACTCATTTACGGTATATGACTGAAAATTTTATGAAATTATTCATATTTTTATGGATGAGAAATAGATTTTGACGAAGCTCAAAGGCTGAATATATTTTGTCATTAAAATATTATATTTTCTCTATATGCATGCAGGGATAGATGCTCGGTTGATCACAGAGAAAATCGGGAGACAAACCGAGAAATGGGCTATTAGTCTATCGCTATTATCTTAAAGGGTTTGACCCATTAGAAGCAATTTCATTTCCATCTTAATCTTTTGATAGCTTAATATATTTTACATTTTAAAATGTATGGATCTTCTCTATAACATTAAAATTTGTCAAAGATACATTTTATTTTATTGTCAAATTTATTTTCTTTATCGACTAAATTCTTGATAGATGAGTTTGTTTTATGTAGTGATGGATAGACTAGATAATGGTTTTATAAAAGACAGAGTTTAATTGGTTAAACTGATTTATCTCTAAAAAAATCAAAAGTTTTGTTGAAAATTAAATTTTGACAATACATTTTAAAAGTTTTACTTTTGATATATTAAATCAAGATTTTATTTAAAGTAAAATATTGTCATTTTCATAATGGAGATGTACTGCATGAGTCATCAATATGAAAAATGGAAAAAAAGAGATGTCGGGTATATTTCAGTGGTCAATGAGATGTCTGCATCCCGAGAACAAAAATAACCCAAAAATCTAGTTTTCATTTATAAATAAGACAAAACAAAGATTTATGAGACTGTTTTGTTTCTTGATATGGATCAGTTTAAAAAAAAAATAATTGAAAAAAAATCCTTATTTTTTTTTATCTTATGTAGTTTTTAATTGATTAATTACTTCACTTTAATGCCTAAAACCCAAATTTATGTAACTCACTGTATTTTCTCCTGAAATGGAGTTTGAAATAATAAATTGTTTCTTTATTTTTCATTTTTTTATGTAAGTGTTCAATGATTAATTACTGTGGGCAAAAGTAAAGACACCTTTCAGCGAGAAACTATCCATTTTAACTAAGTGTTGAAATTTTGTTGAAAATAATTGACAAAAAGTATTTTTCTGAATATTTTGTTATGTTAGGAAATGCTGTAATTGCTTTTGCACTATGACACATTCTTATTATAATATTTCATCACTCACTGACTGTAATTTCATTTTCATGGTATGATTGCAATCTTAAGCTGGTTTTCTTGTTCTCCTAAAAAAGATGATCAGCTCATAATCAAAGCACTGAAAGAATTGTTGAAGCAGATTAAAAGTAATGAAGTAAAAATATATCTTTGTAGTTTCCCAATATCATAAATATTTGTATTTGATTAAAATTATGTATAAAAAAGAATGTGTCCATAGTACATGGATGCCCCACTCTCACTGTCATTTTCTATGTTCAGTGGACTGAAATTGGGGTCAAAAACTAATTTGGCATTAAAATTAGCAAGATCATATCATAGGGAACATGTGTACTATGTTTCAAGTTGATTGGACTTCAACTTCATCAAAAACTACCTTGACCAAAAACTTTAACCTGAAGCGGGACAGACGGACAGACGAACGAATGGACGCACAGACCATAAAACATAATGCCCCTACTACTATTGTAGGTGGGGCATAAAAAGACTGTTGTGATGAAGTTATTGAGAATTACAGCTGAGGAAGTTTCACAAAAGTGCACTTTATATTAAAAAAAACTGCAAAAGTCATCCCGTTATCTGAGAAATAGCATTGTGAAAATGTTATGAAAGGGAAGCATAAACTGTATAATTGGTTTTGGATAATGAGTAGGTTTTGGTTTCTCATCATTCTAAAGTCGATGGCAATAACAGGGTTCGGTGCTAATATAAATACATTGTGTAGTAACATTAATTAGCAAGATCGTGTATTCTGGTACATAATTTTCATTCTGAAGTGGTGTAATTTAATGAAGCAAGTTTCTGGCAGGTTAACAGTAGGGTGGCAGGGATAGAGTCTAGAGAATCAATAGGTTTAATGAAAATATTGTTTCATATCCTGGGGAGCTTAGGTCTGGTCCTGTATTCTGTTTGTGTTTACAAATAAAATATAATTAGAGCTCATTTTAATTAGATTGAGTCAACCAAGTGCAATCTTCCTAAGTTTTTAATCCTTTGTTCAATCACTGCTTAACAACCTTTTTTCAAACCATTTCTGAAGTAACCATCATATTTTTTTTAAAACACAGAAATGCTAAATTTGCTTTGCATTTTGCTTTCTTGTTTGTAAATGCTTGCCAATATGCTGCTTTTTTATGGATTTTTATCTATTGAGAAAACAGGCAATTCTGACTTCAAGAAGATCCTAAATGTCTGATATCATACTTTACAGTGTAATTTCAATAGTTCAAACAAAAGATAAATTTCTGGTCACTTCTAATATAAAGGATACATTTTTATTCATTTACTTTATTTGCTACGAATTGTCCACGAATTGGGAAAATTGCATTATGATGAAATCTTGAGTTCATGATTTTTGACGAATATTACATAGGAAATTTTAATTTAATTGAACACTAAAATTAAATGTTCACCTATAACCTCAAAATCTAAAAAAAAAAATGAGTAACCACCAAAAAATAATGAATTCACAGTATATTATATGTTCATT